AAATGCAAAAAGAAAAACAAGGAATGGGGTTAACCATGAGAAAGAAAAAAATTGGAACCAGGAACAAGGAATAGAGAAAAAGCTGAAAACTAGAACCTTTCCAGTCATTGGTATCCAGAATATCCTTGTGGTTCCTAGCAAGTGGAGCCTATTCTTAAGTCCCTGGAATCTGGGAGAACTCTTTCGCTTTAAATAACCAATGTGGTCAAACCACTTGTATACATTCAAAATGGCTGTGCCATCTGGACAGGCAGAAGTCCACAGCTCAGCCCACCTTCCTCTTCGCTGCTTCCCCTTTTATTCACCAGCCACCAGTGCAGTTGCTGGCTAGCAGGGCTTATTTTTAGGTTAATTCTTAGGTCGTCATACCACTCGGCAGTCAATATCCAAGCTGTCTGTGCCATCCAGCCACATCATTCTTGAAAACATAAGTTGTTTCATGGCTCCATGAATTTGCTCATCCTGTTACCCACCCAATAAGGAGCTCTGGCAGCATAGTGCCTAAGGCATTTGACTGCTAACCAAAAGGCTGGCAGTTCAAACCCACCAGCCATTCCTCGAAAGGAAGACTGGGCAATTTACTTCCTTACAGATTTCCCACCTCATAAACCCAATCTTTATTGAATCCTTATTATGTACAAAGTCAGGTGGTATGTCTATAATAATGAGAAAAATAACAGTCTCTGTCCTCTTCTAACGTACAGTTTAGTAGGCAAGATATGCTGGCTTCTAATAATAGAGATTAACAAAGGGACCTAACTTGCATTGGGAAGACCTTGCTGATTACATTTTCTTTGAGATCTGACATATTGTAAGGTGGGAAGGAAGAACAGGAGGGCTGCCTGTCTGGTGACAAGTTGGTGCAAAGAGTCTTTCAAGTGGGAAGACAATAATACATTGGAAGTCCAAGGTGAGAAAGAGCTTAGAACACGCTATTCAACAGAACTTTCTGCAGTAATGGAAATGTTCTATGTCTGTACTGTCCAAAGTGGTAGCCACTAGCCAAATATGTACTAAACACTTGAAATGTGACTAGTGCAAATAAGAAACTAATTTTTTTAATTTAAATAGTCCCATGTAGTTGGTTACTATATTGGACCAGATGGGTTTATAGCATTTGAGGAATTAACTAATGGCTAGTGGCTACAGAATGGGCATGAGGAAAGAGTGGCTAGAGATAGGCAGAGATGAACATGGCAAACAAACCCACTGCCATCGAGTCAGTTCCGACTAATAGCAACCATGGTAGTAGTAAGGAATTTTGACTTTATTTTCTATGTAACAGGAAGCCATTGAAGGGTGGTGGTGGTAGTCACAGATGTTAATTACGGAAATGACACCTGATTTAAATTTTTTCAAAAGATTGGACTGCCTGCAGGGTAGCCTGCTAAACATAATTCAGAGTATCCTGAATAATACACTGAATGGGTAGTATCTTAGATATTTTACAAAAGTACATGTGTTCCTCAAGATAATTCTTCAAAAAGACTCAGGGTTTTCCATAGTTCTATCCAGCAAATGTATACTCTTACATCACTTATAGAAGAGCAAGCTTTTCTGCCTATCCTTTCTTTGAAAGGTGCTGCTCCCAAAACTGAGGGTGCTTTGGTCACTCATAAAAGATTTTATATTACTACATGATCATTTTCAAAGAACCAATTTTTATCTACCATTTTAGATAAGAAGAAAGAACCTCATGATGTAAGAAATTTTGACTATACTGCTCGAAGCTGGACTGGAAAATCTCCCAAACAATTTCTGATTGATTGGGTCAGGAAGAATCTTCCCAAGAGTCCAAATCCTTCCTTTGAAAAAGTTCCAGTAGGTAGATACTGGAAATGTAGGTATGTTTTAATGAATAACTGAATGAACTTTTAGAAAAACATAAGACATAATATTTTGGTTTCCTGTGAAATAAATAACTTGGCTGCTAACAGAAATGCTGGCATTTTTGAACCCACCGTTCAGTCCGCAAAAGAAAAGACATGGTAATCTGCTCCTGTAAAAATTACAGCCTAGAAACCTTACAGGGCAGTTCCCCTCTGTCCTATATGGTCACACTATGAACTGGAATTGACTCAGTGACACACAACAAAGTAGGCCTTTCAGAAGCTCTCTAATTCTGCACCTCAAGTTGATAGTGTTTACAAATTATCTAGTACAATGCCTTCCATGGAAATATTTAATCTACATGATTTATGTCAATTTAAGTTCAGTGTTAATAAAATTCTGACTTCTTTATTTTATCAACTTTATTTTTAAATTTTATTTTTTGCTTCTTTGTAGGGTAAGGGTAATCAAATCTGAAGATGATGTCCTGGTAGTATGTCCTACAATTTTAACAGAGGATGGCATGCAAGCTCAGCACTTGGGAGCTACTTTAGCCCTTTATCGTTTAGTGAAAGGGCAGGTGAGACCTTGTACATCTAAATGCTTCAAAAATCATTTGTGGATTAATGGTTGATAAAACTATCTACATGTGTAAGGTAGTATTAATTATGGCCTTTTATGCCAAGTTTCTTTTTAATGACTACTTCTTCACTCAAGGGAGCTCTGGTGGCCTAGTGGTTAAAGCATTCAGCTACTATCCAAGAGGTCAGCAATTTGAACCCACCAGCCACTCTGCAGGAGAAAGATAAGGCAATCTGCTTCTGTAAAGATTTACAGCCCTGGAAACTCTTTGGGTCAGTTCTTCTTGTTAGGTGCCATCGAGTTAGCGCCGACCCATAGTGATCCTATGTACAACAGTACGAAACACTGCCTGTCCTGTGCCAGCTTCACAATCTTTGCTATACCTGAGCCCATCATTGCTGCCACTGTGTCAGTCCATCTCGTTGAGGGCCTTTCCCTTTTTTGCTGACCCTCTGCTTTTCCAGCCATGATATCCTCTAGGGAATGGTCCTTTCTGACAATATGACCAAATTAGGTGAGATGAAGTCTGGCCATTCTCATTTCCAAGGAGCATTCCAGCTGCATGTCTTCCAGGACAGATTTGTTTGTTCTTCTGGCAGTCCATAGTACTTTCAGTATTCTTCACCAACACAACTCAAAAGCATCAACTCTTCTTTGGTGTTCTTATTCACTGTCCAGCTTTCACTTACATATGAGGTGATTGAAAATACCATGGCTTGGATTAGGTGCACCTTAATCTTCAAAGAGACATCTTTGCTCTTTAGCACTTTATAGGGGTCTTTTGTAGAAGATTTCCCCAATGCAATACATCTTCTGATGTATTGATGGCTGCTTCCATTGGTGTTGATTGTGGAATCAAGTAATAAGAAATCTTTGACAGCTTCAATCTTTTCTCCATTTATTGTGATGCTGCTTATTGTTTCAGTTGTGAGGATTTTTGTTTTCTTTATATTGAGGTGTAATCCATACTGCGGACTGTAGTCTTTAATCTTCATCAGTAAGTGTTTCAAGTCATCCTCACTTTCAGCAAGCAAGTTTGTGTCATCTACATAATGCAGGTTGTTAATGAATCTTCCTCCAATCCTGATGCCACTTTCTTCTTCATATAGTCCAGCTTCTCAGATTATTTGCTTAGCATACAGATTGAATAAGTGTGGTGAAAGGATACAACCCTGATGCATGCCCTTCCTGATTTTAAACCATGCAGTATCACCTTCGGCAGTTCTCCTCTGTCCTAAAGGGTAACTGTGAGTCAGAATCAACTTGATGGCAGTAGATTCTTCACTCAAAATTTTGGCTTCCTGTCATCTCAAAACATAGCTCAGTCTTTCTCTGCTTCTTAGACTAGAGGTCAAAGAGAGACAATTTGATTGTTCCAACTTTTCGGGCTAGTCTAATTTACAGATTCAAAATAGTTGTGCTGTTGTTAGGTGCTGTCAAGTCAATTTCAACTCATCCCAACTCTCATGTGACACAACAAAACTTCCCCATAGTGTTTTCTAGGTTGTAAACTATATGAGAACAGATTGCCACATCTTCTGAAAAGCGCCTCATGGGTTTGCTACAGGGGCAAGGAGGCAGCATCTTCTGACCTCCTCTGACTACATAAGAGAAGGACAGAATCACCATCAGCAGCCCAATGCCTGGTCCTATGAGGCCAGACATGCCACCACCCTCCAGTCCTCTTACTAACCTTGACAGCAACAGTTCCTCCCACGACACCCATGACCTGTCTGCTGGATTCATTAATTCACTGCAGTGGCCACACACAACTCACAGATTATGGGGTTTATTAGGGAAGCAACAGGCTACAATTCAAGTTCAGGAACATACTCAATCTCTCTCAGCCCCTCTCAGTAGCACATCTTTCTCTCAACAGTGCACATCTCTTGAGTGGGTGTCTCTCTCTCTCTCAGCAGTGCATCTCTCTCAGCCAGCAGTCAGAGAGACACACTCTGCCTCTACACAAAACAATGCAACACACTGCCATCGAGTTGGATCTGACTCATAGCAGTCCCTCCTTGGGTTTTCGAGGCAGTATCACTACAGAAGTAGATTGCCCAACCTTCCTTCCAGGGAGTGGCTGGTGGGTTTACTACCAGCCTTCTGGTTAGCAGTCAAATGCCTTAGGGACTGTGCCACCAGAGCTCCCTCTCTGCCTCTAGCAGGGCTCATTTTGAGCCTGGCACAGTAGCAAAACTAACCAATCCCAACATCAGAATTCTACACACATGAGAGAGAGAGAGAACTTCCCAGATTGTTTCCTGGAGCTCTACCAGAAATACACCAGGTGGATAACTTTAACAATCAGATACTCATTTGCTCACAGTGAAGTGGAAGTTACCAAGACTATGGCTAGAAAAGTCATACCATGTAATTTACTACACCATAGGGTTCAAACTGCTAATCTTTGCTTGGCAGCCAAGTGTTTAACCATCGTTCCACTAGAGCTCATTTTAAAAAATATAAAATTATGCTAGGGTGATTAAATTTAGGAGAATTTTTAAACAACTTGTTTTCCTTTAATACTATATTAACGTTTACACTTAAAAAAACATACACATTGGTTTCCATTTTAAATTTTAGTTTATATTAATTATAAGCTTCCAATTTAAGATTAAAATAAGGTATTACTGAAGGATGATGCTCTTTAAGAGATTATAGTACTAGTTTTGAAAAAAAATGGATCATCAGCATTTCCTTTTTCAGTAAATGTGTGCTGTGTATCTTCTTTTGGGAAATCAGAACCACTGAAAATTTTAGACACTGATGAAGTTGATGTCCAAACATTAGTTCTCCAGTTTCTGCAGTGAAAGTTTTTATGTTTTTATTTCCTTTATTTTGCAAACTAGAGGATCGTAAACAGAACCTACTTGATCGAAATGATTATCAGTCAGAAATGGTCATGGGCTTGTTTATAGAACAGAATTAGGATGACTCAGATTTTATCCAGTGTAGTTTATGGTAACATTAGGCAACTGCCAGAATCTCAAAGGAAGCTTTATAGTAAGGTTCCAGTATGTTTTAGAAATGCTTTATGGTTCATCTATTTCTATAGCACCACTGCGGGAATAAATAGTAAATATTTATTCAGTAGTTTTCTATAACGTCACCATATGCCTATGATTGAAGTACTCTTGTTATCCCCTTATTGCAAATACGGAAACAGAGACAGAGGTTATGTTACTTGACCAAGGATACATAGCACGTCCAGAAGCCTGAATATGATAGCTATTTATAAATTTATATCATTTTTATGTACATTTTCTATTAAAGTAATAACTTCCTAGTTTAACAGATATACAAATTACATTTTAAGGGGGAGGTAACTTTGCTTCTAAGTTCTTACCTGTTGAATATTTGGATATCTAATGGTTAATGAAAATAATGTCTACTGTTTTTTCCCTCTACAGTCAGTTCATCAGTTACTCCCTCCTACTTACAGAGATGTTTGGCTGGAATGGAGTGATGCAGAAAAAAGAAAGGAAGAGTTAAATAAAATGGAAAGCAATAAACCACGTGATCTTTTTATTGCCAAACTTCTGAATAAATTAAAACAGCAGCAGCAACAGCAACAACAGCATTCTGATAATAAACGAGAAAATGCTGAAGATCCTGAAGAATCTTGGGAAAATTTAGTTTCTGATGAAGATTTTTCTGCACTGTCCATGGAATCAGCAAATGCAGAAGATTTAGAACCTGTCAGAAACCTCTTCAGAAAGTTACAAAGTACACCTAAGTACCAGAGGCTTCTGAAGGAAAGGCAACAGTTACCTGTGTTTAAACACCAGAGTACAATAGTTGAAACTCTAAAGAGGCACCGTGTAGTGGTTGTGGCAGGTGAAACAGGGAGTGGTAAAAGTACTCAAGTGCCACATTTTCTGTTGGAAGATTTGCTTCTGAATGAATGGGGAACAAGTAAATGTAACATTGTCTGTACCCAACCCCGGAGAATCTCAGCAGTGAGTTTAGCCACAAGAGTGTGTGAAGAATTGGGCTGTGAAAGTGGTCCTGGAGGAAGGGTAAGATGCTGTTCCTCTCCACTTTAGTTAATGGTAACATACTTACCTTTGCTCTTGGGAGCCAAATGAAACCTACAACACATGAATTTTGGCTGTCACTGGTTGTTCAATAGCACATTCAGGCATCCTTTAAATGTTTTCTTTGAAAAATACGGTATTATTAGCAGTAATAAAAGATTATTAGCAATTATGTCATTAAAATACCATCGAGTCGGATACGACTCATAGCAATGACTCCTTGGGTTTCAGAGGCAGTATCATTACAGAAGTAGATTGCCCAGTCTTCCTTCCGAAGAGTGGCTGGTGGGTTTGAACCACCAACCTTCTGGTTAGCAATCAAATGCCGTAGGCACTGCGCCACCAGATCTCCTAAAATTCTCTTATAAAAGAAAAATATATTCAATTTAATAATTGAATGCTGAAATATGTTACATACTATGTTGAACATTCAAAGAATTTGGACAAGTACAAATTTGACTCTAGTAGTATATATATCAAATTTTTACAAGTATTTTCTGTAGGATGTATTCCTAAGACATTTTCAGTAATTCTTTAAATGAGTAGAAGAGGAAAAGAATGTAGAAGAAAATGCTTTTTTCATTTTAAAAAAAAAAAGTGAAAGTACTTAAGCATCTTTTGTCATTCATTTTGTCATGCAAGCAAACACGAAACTGGCCAAGTCTTAACCACAGTGATAGGATTGGTTAGAACTAAATATGAGGAATTCCCACTTCATATAACTCAGCTTAATTAGAATACAAATTGTTCTTTCTGGATATGGCATTTAATATTTTTGTCTCTATCCTTAAGACGGATACCCTTTCATTAAAATTTTTTTATTTAGCAAATTTTCTGAGTTTCTCTGAAAGATTAAATGACAGTTTCTGTCTTAGAAAGAATTTAAGGGGATGACAGACATGTACATAAATAAAATAAAGGAATGACTGAAGGGATAAGAAAGAAAATGTAATGAGAATAGATACGGCTTCAAGATTCCCATTAGCAATAAGTGGTATAATATCAGCTGCTCTTTAATGGTGGTGAGTCTTGATAGAGTGGACCAGATTGTGAGACGTGCTATAAAATGCTGTTCCTAATACCTTAATATTTCACTCCGAGATGATTTAAGAAGAAATTGATTCAATATTTATTGTTTCCTAATTATTAATAATACTTGAAACAGATAAACAGCCCTCCATCTCTGTATCTCAAAAGGAAAGATTTTTTTTTTTGTTTAAAATTACCAAAACAGGACCATGGTTGCAGGGGACATCAAGCTCAATTGACATAACATACTACACAAAACATTGTCCCACATCCTACTTTGGCAAGTAGCAACTCGCATCTTAAAAGCTTGCAATTGGCCATCTAGATGCAATGATGGGTCTCTCCTCATCCAGAGCAAAAAAGAATGAAGAAAACCAAAGATACATGGAAACAATTAGTCCAAG